CGCCCCTAGGCCGCAGCTCGCTCCTCGTTGTCATGGTTTCTCTGTCCAGCGGCGGCAGCTGGGGGGGAACGCCCCAAGGGGTGAGTGGCTCTGGGCGTGCGGTGCCATCTGGGTCTGTTCCCATTCAGTCTGAAAGGGCTTGGCCGGCTTCTGCTCCTGGTAGCTGCACGGACACTCATCCCCTGCTGTGTCTGGCTAAGAGCCAGGCGGGCGGTCCACATAGGGCTGTACTGAGTAGGGATGTTAGCATGTCGTTGTTTACACGATTAACCGATACGCCTGAGCTTCTCCGTTAATCCTAATGACCAGGGCTTGCCGAACCGCAGTGAGCCCTGCTCGCCAGCTGCGCTGTCCAGCGATCTGAGCATGCACAGATCGCCCGAACCCGGCTCTTCCGGGTTACCATCTACTGGCCACGGGCAAGTAGATTGTATAATTTGTTGAGCCCTGCTAATGACTGCCCCCTTCCCCCACTGTCTTTGTATCAGGCTCCCCCTGAACACCAGCTCCCACGGAGCCACCTGCCCCCGCTCCCCTGCTGCTGCCTCTGTATCAGAGGCAGCAGCAGTGAGGGAGAGGAGGGCAAGTAAGAGGCAGCAGCGTGGGAGGGGGGCAGGTGGAGGAGAGCTGGCTTAAAAGGCAGCAGTGCTGGGGGGCAGACAGGAGTCGGCTCCATGCGCTTCAGCTCCCACAGAGCTGCCTGTCCCCCACCCCCCAATGCTGCCTCTCTATCAGAGGTAGGGGTGGGGGGGCGGGTCCCAGGGAACAGGCGTTTAAGAAAAATCCAGCGGTTACACGTTCACGCAAACACACGTTAGTTAACACCCCCACTGTTGAGCTCCGTGTGTTCTTCCCTTAGGGGGTCCCCAGTCCCCTCCCAAGGAGACCCTGCAGGGAGCAGCCCAGGCAGGGGGAATCAGTCCGTATCTGCTCCCAGCATGAGGGCGACAGGCCACGCCGCAGCCTGGGGCACACAGACACCTTCACTTTCAGGCCCCATTGAGCCTGGACTCCTCGGGGTGGGGGCTTTGCCTGCTTTCCCGCGGACGATGCCTCCTCAGGGCCGGTCCTGGCATGAGTCATCCTGGCGAGAGCGAATTCATCTGGCACCGGCGCTGCGGCATGTCATTAGCGAGGACCTAATGGGCACTTGAAACGAAGGCGCCGGCACTGCACGTGGCTCCAGAGCCTGCCGAGAAAGCCCGGAGGCCCTTCTCGAGGGCTTGGCTAATGTAACCTCACTCCAGCGCCATCTCACTGCCTCCCCACTTGCTTTGATCCCGGCCGCCCTCCTCCCCAAGCCCGTGCGATGGAAGAGGGAGCGATCCCCCCGCCTTTCTAAAAGCTGCAAGGGAGACGTGATCAGTTGCTCATCAAAAACCAGCCGCTTCCAGCCCGCGGTGGAAGTGCTGGGTGCAGACAGCCTGAGGCCCCCGGTCTAGGGCGGGAGCCCCCCTGCTCACCAGCTCTCTGTTCTGCGGCAGGCCCAGCGCGCTCCATCTCTCCCTCAGCAGGGATCTGTTCTCAGCCCAGCCCGGCCCCAGCAGGCACAGGAGGCTGAGGACGGTGACTTGAAGCATCAGGTTCATCTCTGGAAATCTCAGGGCTGTGGGGCAAGAAGGGGACACGACAGGGGGGTGGGGAGATCTCAGTCAAAGGTTCCTCCTGCCAGGGCGGGATAGCACTAATACAGGAGGAATAACAGCAGCCCTGTGCTGGTACCTCTCCCAGCCACGCCTGACCAGCTCCCTGCAGCGCGCCGGTGGGCCAGGGCCATCGTGGCTGCTGTCCGCGGGGAGGGGACTCGCCCATGGTCACGCAGCCGGGTGACAGCAGGGCTGGGAGCAGAATCCAGTTCCCTGCTCTGCTTGCTGGACAGAGTGAGCCAAAGCTGGGGCAGAGGCACCAAACGAACCCAGGGACTCGCCTGGCCCCCCACGGGCCTGCTAGGGGCTGTGGCCAGGCTCCTCACAGCCACCGGCCACCCCCTAGATTCAGGCCTGACGTGGGAGAGATTCGTCCATCCCACGGGCTGCGCGTTCATTGGACCCAGAGGGCTGGGGCCGAAAGACAGCATGGCCCACAAGGCCCATGGCAGCGAGCCAGCCCAGAGCTGGACCGGGGGGCGCAGGCCAGCAGAGTTGTAGGAGAGTGACTGGATGCTGTGGCTCGTGTTGTGGCCTATGCTTGGAAGGGGTGTGTGTGTGTGTGTGTGTCTGAAGGTGCGTGTGTGTGTGTCTCAAAATGTGTGTGTGTGTCTGAAGGTGCGTGTGTGTGTGTCTCAAAATGTGTGTGTGTGTCTGAAGGCGCATGCGTGTGTGTCTGAAGGGGTGTGTGTCTAAAGATGCGTGTGTGTGTGTGTGTATCTGAAGGGGGGTGTCTGAAGTTGTGTGTCTGAAGGTGCGTGTGTGTGTCTGAAGGTGCGTGCGCGTATGTGTGTGTGTCTGAAGGGGTGTGTGTCTGAAGGTGTGTGCGTGTATGTGTGTGTGTCTGAAGGTGCATGCGCGTATGTGCGTGTGTCTGAAGGTGTGTGCGTTGCAGAGGCTCTGCTGAAGTATTGTTATTAGTTCTCAGCACCTAGTCCCGGAGCCTTTTCCTGGGGAAATCCCAAGGTCCCTCACGAAGCAGAGTTTTGTTAAACCCTGCGGCCAGCCGGCAGATCCACCTCGTGGGAGAAAGGCTGGGGGCCTGGAACACCAAGCGGCTGCTTTGCATTACACAGCGGCAGGAGGGGCCACAAGGCAGCAGTAAGGTGGCCCAGAAAGGCATCCAGGCGACCTGGCCTGGAGCCAGTCCCAGGAATCCCTCCCCTGCCTTTCCTAGGGGAGTGTGGCACTCGGGTGCGCTCTGTCCCACACACAAAGGGGGCTCTTACCTCTACTCTCTCCTGGCTCTTGCCGTCCTGGCTGCCGAGTGAAGTGTCAGGCAGGCAGCGCGTCCCCTCCTTATATACAGCCCCGCGCTCCCGGCTGGGTGCGTCAGAAAAGAGGGAGCCGTCACCGGCCGAGCTGCCGCCCCCTGCTCAGGGCCGGGGTGGGTGGACAGGTATTGTGAGCCAAGCCGGTTGTGTTGGCCTTTGGGAAGACAGAGCCAGGCAGGGCGCACGGTTCATCTTTCACGCTCGGGCTGAAGAGGAGTGGGTCACAGGCACCGCATGGAGAGGGACGGCCAGAAAATGTGAGCGCCCGGTCCCCTAGCGTGGGGAAATCCACCTCTGGGGACAGAGAGCTCTGAGATGGGCTGTGTCAGGTGGGTGCGGGTAGTCACTGGGCTGCAGAGGGGCACAGTCCCAGCAGTGCCGGATTTACGCTACATTTTAGGGCCTCAGACGGTGAGGGGCCTCTAAATACCCAAACCGGCTGGTTTCGAGTTGCATTCTTGCCTGTGCCCCGGTAGGGATGCAAATCTCAAGCTGCGCCGTTCTGTTTCCATTCGCCTTCCCGTGGGAGCAACGCAGCGTTTGGTACCGCGAGGGGGCCTCTTCCGCTTGACCCAGGCCTCCGCATGTCTTCTGCCGGCCCTGCCCTGGGCCCAGGCCCTCTGAGTGGCCCCAAACCGGCTGGTTTCGAGTTGCATTCTTGCCTGTGCCCCGGTAGGGATGCAAATCTCAAGCTGCGCCGTTCTGTTTCCATTCGCCTTCCCGTGGGAGCAACGCAGCGTTTGGTACCGCGAGGGGGCCTCTTCCGCTTGACCCAGGCCTCCGCATGTCTTCTGCCGGCCCTGCCCTGGGCCCAGGCCCTCTGAGTGGCTGGCCGCTTCTCCGCAGGGCAGGGCCGACCTCACCCCTGGCTCTGCCGGTGGCCTCAGTCCCGACCCGCAGAGCCCGGGGCTCCCCCTTCCCCACAGCTCTGCCAAGGGGCTCGATGCAAACTTGGCAGAGCCATGCCCACGGCCTCGGGCCCAGGGGAGCGCGGCTGCTTCCTCCTGGCTCCGGGCCCAACGCATCTGTCCCGGGAGGAGAGGGGGGTTGTGGGTACATCTGTGTGGCTGCTCGGAGCCTAACGAGGCCATCCTGGGGGTGTCTCCAGGCACTGGGGAGCTCACAGGGGCACCCAGCACACCTCAGAGAAACGCTTTGGCCCTGGGCTGGAGAATGGAGGCGAACAAGAAAAGCAGGAGAGAGCCCATGGAGCAGAGCCTGCTACTGCTGGTGGCAGCTCTTCCCCCAGCCTCGGATCTCGGCAGATGGAAACCCAGCCCCCACCTGACCCCTCGAATTGCGGGGGGCTTGCTGGCCTGGGGGCGCAGGAGCACAGGAGCTGGTCAGACTGTTCTCTGAATGGCAGCGTGCAATTCACGCCAGGACACGAGTCCACATGGCCTGGCAATGGCCCTGCGCTACGGAGCTGCTTCAGGTGCAAGACTTACAAAGTGTCCCAGATACTCTGCACTAGTTAGGCCTCAGCTGGAGTCCTGTGTCCAGTTCTGGGCGCCACATTTCAAGAAAGATGTGGAGAGATTGGAAAGGGTACAGAGAAGAGCGACAAGAATGATTAAAGGTTTAGAGAACATGACCTATGAAGCCAGGCTTCATGAACGGGGCTTGTTTAGTTTGGAAAAAAGAAGATTAAGGGGGGACATGATAGCGGTTTTCAAATATCTAAAAGGGTGTCACAAGGAGGAAGGAGAAAATTTGTTCCTCTTGGTTTCTGAGGACAGGACAAGGAGTAATGGGCTTAAAGTGCAGCAGGGGAGGTTTAGATTGGACATTAGGAAAAAATTCCTAACTGTCAGGGTGGTCAAATATTGGAATAAATTGCCAAGGGAGGTGGTGGAATCTCCCTCTCTGGAGATATTTAAGAACAGGTTAGATAGACATCTGTCAGGGATGGTGTAGACGGAGCTTGGTCCTGCCTTGAGGGCGGGGGGCTGGACTCGATGACCTCTCGAGGTCCCTTCCAGTCCTATGATTCTATGATTCTATATTTAGAGCAAATAAAGAAAATCCTCCTTCCCCCAATATCCCGCCGGCCTAGCAATCCCCAGCCTTTGGTGGTTCGGGGGCCTCCTGCCTACGCTCTGCCCTGCTGGACCCATGCTCGGCCCCTCTGGAGAAGTAGTTTGTGTTTCCGGTTTCCCCTCCCCGGGGCTGAATCACGCAGCACTAGCTGCAGGGCCGACTTATCCATTAGGCCCAGTAGGCTCAGTGCCTGGGGCCCACGAAAATGTTTTAATTTCTTTTAAAATCAGAAGAAAAAAAAAGACCTTTTAGGGTCGAAGAAAACGTTTTCGTTTTTTTTCTCACATCAGAAAAATATGAAACTTTTAGGGACCACGAACATCTATTAATTTTGGCTTAAAACAGAAAAAAAATAAAATGTTGAAATTTTTAAAGTTATAGCAAAAATAATTGTTAATATTGCTATTATTATGGTGGGAAGGGCCTACGAAAGTCATAATGCGGCCCTGACTAGCTGCCCCGGCTGCTCCCGGGCACCAGCCTCTCATCAAACAGGCAAACAAGCCGGCCTGGGACCCTCAACTCCCTGGGAGCCGCTGGAGCACAGAGCTAATTTGCTGGCAACTCCAGGCCGGCTGCAGCTCACGGGCCCGTTGTCCCTTTGCTGGCCTGCCCAGCGAGTCCTCCACAAACCCAGCAGCTGGATTTGCACTGGTCTGCCTGACCCGAGCCCTGCGAGATCCCTTGCCCGGACCTCCCAGCAAGTGCTATGTGCCAGGGGCAGGGCTGCCACGGGGCCGGGCGTTAACGAGGCTCCAGGCACAACTGTCGGAGCTGGGCCCGGAGCAGCATGGAGGGGAAGGAGGAGCCGGGGAGCATTTGCCGCAAAGGAAGGCGCCCCCAAGGTGCTTCACGTAAGGCCTCCTCCTCCCACACTTCTCTGCTGCCAGGACCTACGTGGCTCTGGCTCCTCCAGGCCCAGCAGGCAGGTGAGAAGAGGAAAGTGCCAGAGCAGGAGGCTGGAGTCTCTCCTGGGCGGGGGGGGGGGGGCGGGGACGAGGGA